GCAAAGATGGTGGAAGTGATGAAGATGCGTTATGTAAAACTTGGTTTATTTGTGCTATTTGTTCTTCAACTTGATCTAATTTTTCAGCCAAACTTAAAATTAATTGAATAATTAAATTATTTTGCCTAATGGGAATATTTGTCACAGCCCGTCCCAAAGTTTTACACTCGTGATGGTGAATTGACGGAAATGTCCCTAATACGTGACTAAGGTATAATTTTCACGTTCGTTATATCTAAGCTCCTAAAATTTGGTAATTAGAGTGGAGACTTAGACTTAAATTTTATGATGGAATTTTGTGATTTGGGGTTGGGTAGGACCACATACCTCAAATCCTTCCCTCTTTCCCGTACCCTGTCTCTCTCTCCTCTCTCACAATCTCTCATTCTCCGTCTCTCTCCCTCACTCTCGAACGTACGGACCACCACCATATAACCCTGAAACTTCATGGATCGAGGGTTTTGAAGGCACCATCGTGCTTGTGAGGACTCCACGAACTCAAAGACACCATTTTTAGGTAAGGAATCCTTCGTTTTCGCGTTGAAAACTCGAGGTCCGAGTTTGGCACTATTCATGAACTTTTTGTTGGTTGATTTTTAGGACAATCCAAGCTCATAGTGAGCTTAGTGAGGTCCCAAGGAAGCTCGGAGTGCTTCGTTGGAAGTTTTTGGACGTAAGAACACGGAGATCGACAAGTTTAAAGTTTGGCCGGAGCTTTCGAGGCTTTTTCCGGCGAATTCCCGGCGAGTTAGGAGTCGAGGTAGGTATCAATCTCTTCGTCTCGTCAAGTAATACAATTTTCCTTTTTTTTTTCACTCAATTTCGTTGAGTATTGAAGAAGTTATACTCATTTGAATCTTACCCAGTTTCCGGCGACCTCCGAGGCTTTCGAGGAAGTTTCCGGCCAAACCACGGAGAACTAGGTGTTGTTCAAGGTACCATTCTCTTTGTCTCTTCAAGGGCTAAAACTTTCGTTTTTGAATCACTTGATTTCGTTGAGAAATGACAAAGTTATGGCAATTTGAAAAACTGCCCAGAAAACGGCCGCCGGAAAAACCAGTCCGGCGACCCAAGGAAGAAGAAGGTGCGCGTGGGGGCGCGTGGATCCGTGCCTTCCTTGGCGCGTGGGGGCGCGTGCTACAGTAAAAAATTATTTTAAAAATATGTCGACGTCTGTGACGTCGAGTAGATCACTGTGGTATATTCATATACCCAAATTGAGCACCGTATGAGAAAGTTATTAAGGATTGTTGGTTAGGTGTTCAAATAACGTTTTATAGTTTTTGCATTTAGGTGAAAATATGAATTGACGATCCGACCGTTGGATCATCACCAAACTTTAATACGTTGCAATACGTAATGTTTGAGGATTATTGGAACTTACGGATTGGGAATCCGAGTTACGGATCTTCCGGAATTGGAGTTGTAAGTTCATAAAATAAAATGTTAACCGTCACTTAGTTTTGTTAATTGAGGGAGATCCGACCGTTGGATGGTGATGAAATTTTAGGATGTTATCCTAGAGATATATTGTGGACCTCTGGAAGTTATGGATTTAAAATCTGAGTGGTGGATCTTCCGGATTGAACTACGTAGTGACGTATTTTATATAAGTTATATATTCTATCGATATGAATTCTGAGGTTGGAATTGATTATTGTTTTAGGCGCCGATCGTCATGACGCCTTGGCGTATTGTGCTAGGGAGTTGTAGGGCGAACTCCAGGTGAGTGGGCAGTTTTGTTTTCCGTATATATATATACTTGACGTTTTCCCAGAAATTGAAATTTAATGAAAGTATGCTTTAAATGCAATGTATAAAATTATATGAAAAGTATATTGAAATGTGAATTGAGATGCCATGCATAAAAGTATATGCAAAGTATATAGAAATGTGAATCGAATTGCCATGCATGAAATGATATGAAAAGTATGAATTGAGATATGATGCATATGAATGAATGGTGCGGCGGACGCACAGGTGAGTATCAGGTGAGTATTTAAATACTGTTATGATGATGTTGATATATATTGAGCTCAAATCCTGCACCATGGTTTAGTGCTTATAGTATTCACCGCATCGCACGCTCGCCTTGGATCCAAGTAGATGCTGGTCGCAGAGTCCACGCTGAGTGGGTGCGACGGGCCAGTCGTAGAGTGTTAGTGAGATTTCGACTGGTGGGTGACCTTAGATTATGTGCACAGATGATTGATGAGAGAAGCACTAGAGCGTAACTTGTGTGCAGAAGGCCGAACAGGTCACAGAGGTGACTCCGGCAGAGTGAGAGTGATAGATTTTGAGCTCTAGGTTCAACCGTACAAGGCTATTAGAAGGCCTCCGGTTGATTACTTTCTTGCACCTGATATGATTATTGTTGATGCATCCATACTTAACTGTTGAATTAGACATGGCATGGCATGATTGATAAAGAAAAATGTTGAGATAGTAAAAATGAAGTTTGAGAATATATATGTATATTTATATTTTACATTTCTGGGAAAGTATACAGGTTTTACGGAGAGGGGTTACAACGTTTTGAGAAATGTTTGGATTTGGAAAAGAATTGTTTTACTGACCCACTCAATTTTGGTTTTGCGCCCCTCCAGGTTCAGGAATCACAAAGGTGTGGTGACTACGAGGAATTCGACGGTGTTCTGACAGATTGGACAAAATTAGGACTCACCTTCGGGTGTATCAACTTATAAATTGTATCTTAAAGCTTCCGTACTGTGCAAATGGTTACGTCACTCTCACGTGACGGCCAGCATGCCCTCCTTTTGGACGGGGTGTGTCAATATTACTATTGGCTACTTGTGTTAAAAAATCTGTTAAACCTACTACTTCTTTATCTAACTTACTAATTTCTTTTAAAACTTGGATATATTTTCTGCTAGTTCTAAAATTGGTCATTAAACTAATAATTTATCTATTTTATTGTGCAACTTATCTACTTGTTCACTCAACTCTTTTTGCACTAATTGAATATTTTGAACTTCTAATTTTAACTGCTCAACTATTTCTAGTGATCTAAGTTCTACTTGCTTCGGCTTACTATCTATGAGGTCAACAAGCTCTTTTATTTATTTTTTGCTAGGAAACCTTTGAATATTTTTATTATTACCTTTTAACTGAGATGTAATATAGTCTAAATTTTGCCTAATTGTTTTTATGGAATTTTTCTGAAAATGCTCTGACAATTGGTTTAACAAATGATTATACTTATTATTTTCTAATTTTATATTTTCTGCTTGACTAATAATAAGATCTACAATACTATTGGCTTATGGATTTTCTTCACTATGCAAAATATGATTATGCTTTCTCAATGGAAAATAACAAACTAAACTACTTTGGTCTAAGGTTATTTTTCTTTTTTGAGGTTCACTAATTTCTAAATTAAGATAATCTATCATAAACTACAGTCTACATTTCTCTAGAGTTACGGCTAACTGGTTTCTTAGAAACTTTCTTTCTTCTCTCAAGGTTTCTAAAACTTGATATGTTGCTTCTTTTGCTTCTAAAACTTTATGCTGCATTTTTGTGTTATTATATTTACGAATAAATGAAGGATGTTCAAGATAACCAAGATAAAACTTTTGCTTCTTCAAAGTCCTGCTAATTCTTTTGGATATATATGTTAATCTTCTCTTTATGCTAATTATAGTTGGATGTCTGGGATAATAAATACCTGGTGGTTGTGGTTGACAAGGTCTATAAGGACAATAATATGTGTTGTTCATACAAAATAAACAAGTGGGATATCACTTGTATTAATGACTTCCGCCTTCAAGGTACTTTACTATTATAATTATACTATTAAAATGCTAAACTTTGACTCTGATACCAGATTCGGACAGCAGGCCGAGTTAAATAGTCGGATGACCATTATAACAACTAGACATAAAACCTTGCACATGGAACTCGACATGTTTCAGCATGACGGCCATTCACAGTACAAGTATAAGACCTTAATGGTTGAACTCAAAGGTACGAAGAACTCAGAAATACCCTGGTTAATGTCCAGTTATTTGTATGGCAACATTCAACTACAACAGAGTGTACTCGAACAAAGTATGATCGTCAGTTTAACAGGTTAATAATATAACTACAATAGTGTTTCCCTATTTTGCATTAGAAGTCTAATTAAACAAACACATTAAAGAAAGAAAAGAAAGCTTACTTAAGACTTGGAGATTTCTTGAATATGTACGCTTGAACTTTTATTGATATATATAATGTTTACAAAGATAATTGTTTACAGGAGAGTGTTTACAAGGAAGTGTTTATAAGGATGTTATGAAGACTACATATGCTTGAGAGTATGAAGATGGTGTGAGTATATAGTGAGAGTAGGGTGTTCAGGTGTTGAGATGTTGAGGTGTGCTTTTACAATTAATGAAACTCCACTTATATAGACTGAATGAGGATACAATGATATTAAAATTATTTATACATAAATGGAGTGGACATTTTCTTGGTACTTGTCATTTGTCACTATGCTTTTAGTGTTGCTGAAATTGGCAGCACTGTTTCTGAAACTTGGCCTGATTTTCCTGGTGCCCATTTTTACTTTTGCATGTGATATCCCTGAAATGCTCTCTCCCTTGTCTTCTTCCCATTTTGGATATTATTGAATTGTTTTGTCTTTATGATTAAAAGGAAAGTTTTTGGGGGGTTTTGGTTAGTTTTCCATTAAACTAATGGGGTATCTGAAAATTTTCAAACACATGGTCTTCATAACTCTGTTCGTAGACATAACTAAACTAACAGAAAAACAAAACTTACGTAAAATTGAGAACTTATTCTGTTATTTTGGTTGGGCCATTTTATTTGGATTGATTTAATATTGGGCTTTGTACTAACCATTAAATAAAGTTATTACATGATTTTTTTGTTAAAACTCAATGTTTTGAAACTCTTTTTATTAGTTTTCCTAAAAAAACTAAGAGTAGCACAGTACGAATCTTATAGTATCCGTATGGGTGCAACATTGGTAACGAGGGAAACATGTCGGCTTGCAGAAACAAAGAATTCAGGGTTTCTCCCAAGTACTTTTTTGACAACTTTTATAAGCAATATCAAATACATTTCCCAGAAAGAATTGCACAAATACAAGTATACATAAAAGAAAATTGGGCCACGTATCTGTGTTACATTGTATGAATTGCCACTTTCTGTGTCTCTTCTTGAGCTCCAAGAGCCATCCAATTGCAGAAGGGCAACTTTCTTTCATGGCTATTGCCTTCTAATTTAGTTGCATTGGCTTGTTTCCATTGTCCACGTCTAGGCTCTCTTGCTAGCCTCGCTGTTTTCTGAGCTGCACCCGCGCCTCAGACAAAGCACAGTTTACCTCCCCATCCTCTGGTGTTTCCTTTATCAAAATCTCATAGTCTTGTATTGAAGCTTCCCATTTTTTCAACTGCTTGGTACGTCAACAGATAAACATTACAACTCACTAGTAACATAATGAAAGAGCAACAATATGAACAACTTGAAAATTGTTTTTTCCGGGAAAGATGTGGTTATATGAAAGAGCAACAATATGGTCACCTTAGCATTGCAATCTGCTCTTCTCAATCTAGCCTTGCTGTAAGATGGGCGGACATTAAGGGCAGCTGTACAGTCCTCAATTGCTTTATCTAGTTGGCCAAGTTTTGAACGACAAGCAGCACGGTTGCATAATAACACCGAGTTATAAGGATCGTGCTCAAGTCCCTCGCCGTATGCAACACATGCCTCTGAGAACCTTGCTGTCTTGAAAAGCTCATTGCCTTTTGATCGAGCTACTGCAACAGCTCGAGCCTTTCTCATGACCATGTTTGCTTCCCTGTTGTTTGAGTCAAGCTGTGATGCTCGTTGAGCTGCCTCTAATGCATCATCCAATCTGCCAAACCATTGCAAAACAAATAAAACAATTATTTGACCAAATTAAGAAAAAGTTTAATGTATGTGTTTCCAATGACATTTTCTTTTTCTTACTTTCTTTTTTATGAACGTTCTTCCTTTTGAGACTGCATAAGGATTAGCATAATCGTAACTAAAACAGCTATACTATAAAGATATAAAATACACTACCTGCCAGCAACCATGTCCACCTGAGCTCGTGTTGCTAACAAATTCGCGTTACCAATTGGGCCAAAGAATTTGTTGCAGGCATCAACATCAAAATTTGGACCCCTGGATAATGCTTCATCTGCTTCCTTGTGCCTATTGAGCTTCAACAAGGCCTCCGCTTGCAAAGCATATATCTTCGTGGAGTGTAAAAATGAATTCAATATTAGTCAATCCACAAAACATTTTTTTTTTTCTACCTTTGAAAAAAACTTTTGAGATACATCACATTTTCAGGTAAAGTAGAGAAACAAATTCTTATAGACTTATTCAAAGGACATCTACTAGAGAATAAGAGAGAAGCAATTCTAGTAACGATGAGACCTGAATTTGATAATTTTATGTCTGACCTGGGGCGCTGAATCTGCACCGGCTAATATAACGCTTTGGGATTCCTTTATGAGGGTGTTCCAATCTCTTAACCTACGAGCCTCTGTGCACTTGTTCAGGCAGGCCTGAAGAGTTTTTACTTTAGCAATGTCCTCTTGATCAGCCTCTGGTCCAGCATGCTTGTAGTGATACAAAGCTTTTTCTGCTTCCCCTAATCTATATGTACATAACACATTAATTTTAAGAACTAGGCGTAACAGAATTTTAAGGACAAAAGTTGCAACTCCAAAATGAAGCTAACATGTGGAATTTTATGCTGTACCTAAGATATAATGTTGCCAGACGATGATGAGCCCTATGATAGTGGGGTTCTATCCGAATGGCTTCTCTACACTCAAAAATTGCCTCAAGAATTTCACCTAGAGCGGTTAATGCAGCACTCTTGTTGCTCCTATAAGAAGCCTTATTGGGGTCAATAGAAATTGCAGCATCATACAAAGCCAATGCTTCTGCAAATCTTCCGTTCTTGTAATCTTCATTGCCCATGATCTTCAATGTTTCGGGGTCCATTCTAGTAGACAATGCGCGACATAAGGAAGCAGGTGGTTCCGGCTCACTTTGTCTCTTCTCTTCCCTAGCAGTACTTGTCTTCCCCATGTTTACATGAGTCGGCATTGGAGCGTCCTCCCTAGCAGTCCTTGGAAGATAATCAAGAACATTATACGGGCTTGCATTTTCGCCACCTCCACCACCACCACCACCAGGTTGTCTCAAGTTACCCAAATTTCCGAAAAGCATAACATTGCTGGATGAAGCCCTAACAAGGCTACTACTCCCTTTTGATTTTTGATGATCAGCAATCATGCTCTCAAGCTCCCCAGATATGCCCACCGCCTCCTTTGGAACCCTTCGGCCTTGGTTCACATAACCTTGGCTTGGCGCCATTTTTTGTTGGTGGTGTTGGTGGTGTTGTTGTTGTTGTTGCTGCTGCTGCTGCTGTTGTATAGGGGGTGCCCTATTACTAGACTGGGAAGGCTTCGTGATCGGTTTCGATGAATCTGATGGTACATTGTTTGATGAATCAAGGAAGGAAGCCTCATCGGAGCCACCACGACGCCGTTTGGAATTGGGAGTGCTTGGTGTTTTAACTAACGTGGCATTGTTGTTGTTGGATACCGGAAGAGAACCCGTAGAAGTTGTTCTTCTCGGCCAGAAACTATTCCGCCCAAAAACAGCACTCAAGATGCCGCAACCTGATTTCTTCTCCGGTGAGTCTCCCATATTTTATTAATTGCTATCTCTCACCCTGATCAAATTTGCGCATGGTGTGACGTAACAAAACCAAGAGAAGAACATCAAGTGCATGGAAAAAAGAAAAGGATTAAAAATGAATAAGAAAATGAGAGAGGAAGCAGGAGATTATGTGCATGGCCTCCTGGAGCTGAGTGGCCATCTACCTGCGAATCTAGAAACAATGTCTCCTTGATTTCTCCCTGCTCTGTGCAAGAGAGACGAAACCGGATTGCATCATTAGTTAATCAGGGGCAGGGAAAGAAAAACGAAAATAAATGGCAGGAAAAGAGAATAACAGTTTACGGGTTTGTTCTTTTATAAAATACAAAAATACAAAATAAAAAATAGAAAAACATAAACTGTTTTTTGGAGTTTCTGTTTCTGGATTTGTTTTTTGTTATATTTCGTTTTCTTCACGTTTTCTTTTGTGTTTTTTGCTCTCTGGTGCGGTGCAGAGGTGGAAACAGAAGACCCGGTCTAGCGTTAAATGACGATCTCTAGATTTTTAGAAACGAAAGCACAGCTCAGACTGACTCACCACAACCTAATGTCAAACTGTCGTTGCCCTTATTTCTTTTGAGCTTGGCATGCCTCTGTTGGTTTCAACATCCCACGTAGGACCCAAACATAAATGTGCGTATATCGTGAAGCTGATTGTTTCTTTGCACTCAAGTCAAGTTCGAAACTTTATTTTTATAAATCAGGCAAGTTCCGAATATTACTTACTAACAGAAGGATTAATAAATGTATAAATACATGTTAGCAGGAAAAACAAAAGACGTTTTAATTGCCATCAAACAACGGATTGGACCCAAAGACGTTTTAATTGCCTATAACATGTCTCATCATTGCAACTAATAAGGACTCGATCACCCAACAATTTGAGAAAAGAAATTTACATATTCTTGTCTACAACCAATGAAGTTAAGAAATGAACCAAGAATTTGAGGTAGCATTAAAAAACAAAAACAAAAAAATTCTGAACCAAGAAACTGTGAAAGTTCTAAACTGCTACCTAATCAAGAGTGGTGATCGAATTCTGTGATATGTATGGCTAAGAGAGAGAGAATGAAGGATAGGAGGAATGTAAAATCTCCATTACGCTTTGCAAAACCCTTCGGCTCTTAAGTTGAGGTTCTTTTCAGTTCCTTTACTATTGCTTCTGACAGTTCTTCTGCATTGTACTCTACACCAAAGCATCTCACAACTTCCATGTTTGGGTTCATCAAATACCTGCTTGTTTCAATACAAATTACAGCCACTATAAGCTAATAACCAGAAAACTTGAAAAGGAAAAGATTTAAGCTAGTGGCTCACATGTTGTGGGAAGACTCAACGAGATAGTCATCTCTGTCTTCTTCAACCTTCTTAAAATAAGCACGGTATTCCTGAGCTATCTGCCTTATAGCTGATACAGGTCCAGTTAACCCCACAATCCTTGAATCAAACTCTGTCCATGAAAACTTTGAGTGAGGTGGGTGGGGAAACCAAAAGGAGATATTAACTAAACCATCTGTGTATAAACAATTTGAATATAAAATTACAAACTGGGCTGTTGAAGAATTTGGACCTTTGAGGTAGGCACGAAGATGAGAAGGGTTGTCACGTTCTGGATCAAGCGTAACAAATACTGGTAGAGCCTTCAAATTATATCTCGACTCTTATAAAAGCAAAAAAGAGAAAGAAGCGCATCAGTAATCAAACCTCGAAATTGTGTTCGCATATGAAATGTTGACAAGCGTCGCAAACCTAATATGTTTATGGTCTTGGCCATCATCTGGACTTGCTCCGGTCCAACATCAGGAGAAGAAGTATATCCAAAGTAGAGAAGAACCCAGTTTCCTAATAGATTCCGTTCAGTGACCGTGTGATTCTCTGTGTCTACTAAAGTGAATGGACCACCGATTATAGGGCCCCTGACATTGTTCATGCACTGGTTGTTACCCTGACCTGCTCAGAAAGAAAAAGTAAGAAAAGGGATTATCACTTGGCCTTACGAAATAAACAGTCCTTTCTATACCAATTCAATCAGGAACATACTTGAAGAGCCATTAAGTTTTCAAATAGGGAAGCTAGATGTTCTTTTAACATGGGGGTAACAAAGTGAAGAAAGTTGAGGTTCCACCATAAAACCAATTGGCAATATGCGGAGTAGCCCAACTCCTTAGAAGCCCTTGCATGGTTTGATCCTTCACCAATGTAGGACTTTGTCCTCACATTCTCACACAGAGTTCAATGAGGAACTAAATTTATTATGAATTTCTCATAAGATTTCAGACAAAGTTGAAGTCATACCAAATGGGTAGATATTGAATAGGTGAGATGCACATGAACCTCATATGGAAAGATATTATAACTTGGGTAATCAGATTTTTGCTCCCTGAATTATTAAGTGTTAATTTACCCCTCAAAACTTTTATTCAGCCAATTTATGATCTCAAATATATTAAAATGGTCAATCTAGGACACGTCACGTCAATTCCATCCAAGCTAGCATCAAGTTGATTCATGTACCCGCCACGCGACTCACATTTTAGGGCAGCTTAGTCAGATATTCTACAACCCTTGCAACCCCATACAGTACAGAGATCAATCAGACTGCACAAAGATCAAGCCTCCTCCATCGGAATCTCTCCAAGAGAACAATTGCAAAACGAAAATCACATCATCCATCATCGTCAGCCCACTTCCTCCATTTCAAACAAATTTGTCCCTACCAATTTCCAAACCTCCAACCAAGTTCACACATCCAAACCAAACCAGCTACATCATTGCCCTCTTATTGTCCAAAAGCATATTCAACATTGCCATAAAATCAAACTTTTTTATGTCTTTGGGTTTTGAGTTTTCACTTAAGCAGTGTTGGCGAAGTATTCCTTGTCCAAATCAATGAGCTCAGACTTGTCTACAAGTCTGATTTGTAATATTTTCCACCCAGCACAGCTATTGAACGTAGAAACTGATATAGAATTGGGTCATCAAGTACCCCATTGAAATTTCAGATAATATAATCTGGGGTAGGGGTACTCTGATAGGGAATAGAGATGTTGGGTAAGTGATAGGGGGATTCTTAAATATTGGTGTTCTTTTTCCTCTGTTATCTCCCGTTAAATTTGGGTGCAAAGACAAACAGAGCTACAAAGTGGCTACATAACAGAGGAACCCCAAGCTGGGATAACTGAGGAAGCTGCCTTGTTTTTCAAGTGATTCCAATTGAGGAGGCTTGAACCTCTGTAATGGTACATGGGGGTAGTAAAACATCTGCGATAAATGACAACTTCGAAGATAGGTCACCTGACTTTATTTGACAACAGCTTGGATGGAATTGCAAGGAATCTGACGGTGCGTCCTAGATTTACCACTTTATATATTTCAGGTCCTAAATTGGCTGGGGGAAAAAATGTCTAGTGGGTAATTTGACACTACTATAATAGCTGAGAGCATAAAGGGCCGATTACCCTATATTCTGTTTCGCTTCCTATTGATTTTGATTACAGTATAACCCAATTGGTATCCACACCTCTCCTCTAAACAGGTTCCAAGTCCAAATCCTCTGTCCAAATGTTGCAACTGATTAAAAAATGATTTGCATAGATATAAGTAACTGATCACAATATTCCAAACTTGGCCTGAAACAAAGTTCGCGGGAAGGCATTTAATTTACCCTTCAAAATCATAACTTAACACATAATTACCATTTTCTAATAATACCTAAACATTGGCTGCAGTAACTCTAGGCCTTACTCCAACGAATTTCTCAACCTAGTAACAATATATCATGCTTAATGTAAGACCTGCTTGCTTGGGCGCCTATTTCCCTCCCGACAAGTAATTTGCACAAATCGAGAACCCATACACTAACCCATTACTCCCTGTACATAATAATATGCTGCAACGCTGCAAGCCATCAAGTTTTACAGCCTGACACAGACGAGTTACAGCAAAAACTCAGGTAGGATAAATCTTGGGGTGCCAACTACCTTACAGAATACCGAATACCATGACAAGATTAGGCCTCACTCCTCATACTGAATTATGCCATCACCTGTATGTCACTCTTTTCTCGAGGGGAAAATGAAGCTATGAAGATAGAACAGAAAAGTACCAAGGTTTTCACTGTTTTCCTTCATATCACTTATATCACTTTTAGGGTTCCATTTCAGTTATCAGTAGTAGTGTTTAATATGGCTGTCAGTCAAGCCGAACCCAAGCCATTGCAGATTAGCAAAAGAAAATCACCAAACTTAGTATTACAAACAATATAAACTCATTCAGCCATTATTAAATTGTCATACCAACCATTCCTATCCTGTATTGTCAAACATAACAAGAAGTTCACAAGACTAAATTGTTTATGTTACTCATTCATCAAGCAAAAGCTATTAAATGAAGAAAGGAACAAAAGATGTAGTCCTGCATGAAGAACAATTTGTCTACGCCCAAAATAAATCCTAACTGAGGGTCAAAATGACATATGTGCTGCAAGTTTTGCTTACATTTAAAACCAAGAAATCCTATTAAACATTTTCCAACTAATGTACAAAACAGACATCAATGATTTACCTCAAAAGAAAATGGCATGATGGCCAAACCATTAACACTTCACATAAACAGTCTAATTTCACTAGATAAATGATTTTATAACCAATATCCTAGAGATTTCAGACTGGAGGTATACATTCATCATGAAACCTCTTGTATTTCACACATCAAGGCTAACATCAAATAATCCCTTAAAAACTTAAAACGCTTTTACAGTCAGAAGCAAAGACTCTTAAGTTGCTGAAATGAGCTATCTTTGACAGATAAAATTAGCCATTTAACTTAAATGCCATTTTATACCAACAAATGACTGGATTCCACTTAATGGAACAAATAAGGAGGAAGAACACGAAAACAAAATTATATCAAAAGGCCACAGAACTAGGTAAATGTATTCCAACTTCTTCAAACCAAACACAGTTACCTAGCAATATCACAGGCCGAAACTGTACCTTTCAAAGTTACTCTCCTCTCATCGTTATAGCGAATGAAAGTTGCAATACCAGCAAATCCTAGTATACCAGCAGCCGGCTGCAGAACAAGTATATTATGAACAATATCAATAGAGGTTAGAGACAATCTGTTTACATTAAATAAAGGGAAATTAATCCCGGAAAAGCATGAGACAGATGCTCATTTTTCACAACTTCTGAAAACAAGAATATGTAGATAATAAAACTGATAAGAGAACATAAAGGTGAAGGCTGCGTACAATAACATAGGTGCCCCATGAGTGAGAAGCCGGTGGTGTTTCTACATTCATAGGAGGTCTAATATCTGTCTTCCCATTGGCATGGTTCGATGACTTGGCATAATTACGTGACTGCATTT